ATCTATTATAGTGTGGAAGAAATTTCGCTTCTCGAGACGAAGTTGTCGCTCAACGTGTACTTTTTCAAGCTGGACAATCAGAACTGGTCGACGAAGGATTTTTGTTACATCGAAACAGCGGCTCGAAGACATCCCGATTTTAACGTAAAACTCCGCGATTTCGATCTCCATAATTTTCTATCGTGAGGACATTGTAGTGATGCACGACTTATACACTGTAGGTATATTTGATAAATTTGATGAGGGAAGAACCTAATAAGGCCAGCCCGGATCGATCGACTATAAATAGAACGAGGCTGGAATCTAAACTGACCGACTCGAATGACTATCATTCCCCGACACTGACTCCGGAGGACAGGCTCAGGCAACGATTGGTTCTCGGTAATGGGAATATAAGGAACGTCAGCGTGTCGGTCGATAAATTCTTTAAAGGGTGAGACGCGAAAATAAATCAGACCGCAAGCGAGAAAAGCTTTCATTATAATCGTATCAAAACTGACTACTCCTACCAGAAGCACTTTTGATCACGAGCTACCGTCATTTATGAATTTCTATGATTTTTAATAACTCCGATTTTCAATCTACATTCATTCCATCGTTATAATACTCAAATATTCTTTAAACAGTTTTATTTATTCGCATTTTTTCCAATCCAAATTTTCCGTTTCTGCTTCAACAGCACAGAGCTATCGAAAGTTGCGAAAGAGTTGGACGACGAGGTCTTGGAAATCGCAGCGAAAGCGCAATTACTATGGAGCGTGCCCGGAATCACACTCAGGCCGCACATGTTCTGCAGTCTGGACTCCGTGAAAAATTATCTTTGCAAGTGAGAAACAACAATCAAATTGTCAAATGAATTTGATCAACGAAAAAAAATTGAGATAGATTTCAAATGAAATATAAAATGATTTTAATTGCCGACAGACGAGTTCTTATATTAGCTCGTTCTGTAAATTCAGAATGATTGGATGTGTAAAACAATCGGCAGAACTGTACTCTCTTCTCTAGCAATACGGACAAGTGTTTGCCGGATGGACTAGCGACTATCGAGCTCGACAATGATATTCAACTAACGGGAGTACCGTGCCAAGCTTTCATGGGGTTCGTCGTTCAGGAAATATCGAGGCATAATCATAACGGAAGATACACATTGAGAGAAGCGATGGAGAAATACTGTCCAAGGTAAAAAATATTTAAAAGTAAAATATAGAAAATGAACATCTTTTGGAGTTATAGAAAAATCATTGCGAATCAGTGTTGAATTTAGTGTTAAACAAAACAATCTCTGAATGGGAAGAGCAAAATCGATATTTACGTGAACGATACTTCATACTATAATTTTGTTTCTAACTATAGTGAACGTCCTAATTACTGTACATCTCCCAATTTCTACTCACTGGCTTAGTTTTTTATCATTTTAAGTATTGAAGTGTTCATTTGAAGTGTTATTAAAGGTTCCACGATTTAAAGACTATAATATATAAACTGATTGTTATTAATCTTGAAATTATAGGAAAATACACCAATCAGTGTAAATTGTGACTTGAACAGAAATTTGAACATTTACCATGCTCAATTTTGATACAGATTGTACTACTGTCCGGAAATCCGAATTTTGGCCTCGAAACCATGTCCGTCGGATTCATTGGACTGTCCGATCGTCTACTCGAGTATACTGATGCGCATCACGTGACGACTGATTATATTTTATTACAAACTGTACACACACTCTTAGCTTATAAAATATAATTTTAAAGAAAACGTAGCACGGCTGCATTTCACTCGAATTTCACTTCGGTCCTACTTGAACGTCCTCTGTTCGTACAATCGAAGAACACCCATCCATATCCAAATTTCAGTGACTAAATATTCCAATTAAACAATTATTATTTGACTATTTTAAGATTAACGGATGTGTTTAAGAAATGGAATCGTACATATTAAGAGAATTGCTCCTATTGTATAAGACAGAGCTGTGGTAAAAGGGAAATGAGAGAAGAATAACCAAATGGCAACTATGGCACCGCTCACATCGTAAACCAGATCTGCTAGATAGAGCACTATCGATGGGAGACTCCAACGTGGATCTTTCTACGTGATCAATAAATTGTTTTACATACAAACAATAAAATTCTATAGTCGGCTGAGAGGCAAAATCCAATAATTCAGCTAAGCGTTTTCAGCTAACAATCTACAAGCGCCTTTTCCTAACATGATTTTTAATTGGCAACACGTAAAAAATTTATGAAACTAAAGGATGTATATTTTATCATTATTATCTTTTGTAATGCTCGGACGACCTGTTGCGTTCTTCAGCAATTAACTGAATTACTATGTTTTGTCTCCGATGCCCACGATACTTTCTGTTTATCCCAACCCTTGTTCCATCATCGTTTCAAAACACGGAGATTTCTCACCCAAAGGAGGGAATAAGCGAGCATGCCGATGGCCAAGACGGACACCGTGGAATAAGGCATAGAGTAGCCTAAGCTAAAAGTGACCACCGCCTTGTTAACGTATCCTTGAACGATCTGACCGCTTTCCAACATGGTGAACTCGGTTCGACCGTAGAGCACGCTATGATAACTCAAAACTAGCATACAGACGGATAGTGCGAGCGCCTGAAAGATCCTCAGTATCTCGTTCTCCGTGCTCCACTTAGGATCAGGTTTCTCGCGTTTCACGATTACCTCGTCTACGCACGTGTAACTCGTTTTAATTTTCCGCGATGGAAATCCGTAATCGAACACCTGGAAAGCGATCCCGAATTAAACCGGCGAAGGAAACCGAGGAACGAGGAAAAACTCACTTCATCGTGCAACGTTTCGATTTTACCAGACTGGTCGTTCATCGTGAGAATTTTCTTTTCGTTTAACAGTACCGAAAGGGGCAGCGCTGGATCGCTTGAAGTGAACCGATATCGTACGCAATGAGAACGTTATTCAAATTGTTCTTATCCGACCGGAAATTGTAAAGTGTAAACTGTGTAACCCATCCGCGGCGATAAATAATCTGGGGCGAAATTTTCGTTCGGAGGAAGATGGTCGACGACCTCGGCTATGAGAACCGCGCGAGGACGTAGAAGATGACGCGACGTCGCAAGCGATCCGTGCTCGCTAATCTCCGCGCGGTGATCGCCAACAAAAATTCGGTGAGCACATTAACTATGTACACTATGCAGCAGGCACGTGCGCGTGTGCGGTGCACGCATATCGTCCAACGCACATCATTAACGCCGTGTTCACTACTCGAGACCGGCCGTCGACATCAATTAAAACGGTGGGCGTTGGAATTTTAATGAAACCAATCGCGGGTCATCGGAATTCAAGATGAACGATTACCCGAAATCAATTGTTTCGATTTAAAGAGAAATCGTCACCATTGAGTTTGGTTAATCCCGAAGCATAATTAACAAGAAGAAACATGAGGTTTCGATGTAGACGGAAGTTCACCGAACAGTGCGGATATTTAGTTAGTGATTTGTATGAGACGCTGTTTTTTCTAATGGGTAATTGGTTAATTCATTTTCCAGCGAATCGGACACATGGCATGCACTCTGTGCGACCATTATATCTTGGGCAACTGGATCTACGTGACCATTCTTGGCCTCATTGGGACCGTTAGTCGATCGTAATACTCGTTAATTGTCTTTGCGTAATAGAATACAATTTATAGATCATTTTCCGATGGAATAAAGTACACTCGCTATACTTGACTCCGGTTTACCCTATCTCGCAGTTTATAGGGTGGTTCACTAGATATTACCACCTCAATTCTCGTCGATATTATTATATGTAGCAAACGACGTTCATATAAATTGTACAATACGATCTGTAACAAACTATATGTATATTTATAATTATTTATAATTAACTACACATTCAAAAAATATTGATGACTTTCATATCCCTCGTACCGTCTATCCACAAAATAGTTCACAACACCAGAATGTGCCTCCCTCGAAATCATTCAAGATTATATTATTAAAACCCTTGCTACGTATAATAATGACGACGAAAATCAAGACGGTAATATGTAATGAACCATCCTGTATAGAGATTAATTTAATTGTCTGATCGATAGGTGATCACAGCGTTTGATATTATTCGGATAATTAATTGCAAGACATCGGTCATGCCGAGCTCACAAACCAGGGACAATGAAACTGGTTAGTCTCTGAATATTATAAAAAAGTCAACTTTTACAATCCTTACACATGATATCAAAACATTCGCGTATCGTAAACATTTTGATTAAAATTAATTCTATTTGCATTAGTCCCACTGAACGTGGAAAGAGATTTAAAATTGATGACATCGATTCTGGGACTCGAACACTACACCCTAATCACGTTAGGCGCGATTATAGTGAGTTACTCATTAAGCTTCCCGTTCTATGCGGTTGACTATCTCGGTTTTCATAACGCGATTTGTGAAAACCAAAATTAATTCTTTGCCAACTCAATATATTATCAAATAAATGGAACGATGATCTTTTAGGAGTACCCAATGTTGTACACACCCTGGTTGACAATGCAATTAAGCGTGATTATTTTGGAGTTGATCGTATTCTGCGGAAAAGTGTTCTTGGAAGGACTCCATATGAAACACGACGAAATTCTACTGTCTATTCTGACAGTGCACAATTGGCTCCAAGTATTCTGTTTACTCCAGAAACAAATCCGGCAGGCTCGTTAGACAAGACAAGAAAATACGTCATCGATCGCAAATAAAATTCATATTATAAAAAATTATTGTAATACATCGTACGCAATATTGTAATGTGTATACGTGAATTATAATAAAGTGTATAACGTGTCTGAAATTGCGTACTTGTTCGACAATTTCGTTCGTTTGTCAAGCAATTATAAAAAGACACGTGGAAATGTACGTAACCAAAAAAAGCAGACATAAATAATTGATCAAATTCAATCGCGATGACATTGAAATTGAAAAGAGATCTCGCTTACGCGACTACGGATGATAAAAATAATAATGGAAAAGATGAACCGAGGGAAAGCTTTTCCAAAGTAACAAGAATGTTAAACGTTTGTGTCCATCGATAAATCAAGCGTCGATTAACGTTATTACAGGTAGAAGCGGTTTACGTGGCTCTGATGTGTTTCACAACACACTGTTTAAGCTGCATCGCTTTCGAAGCCGGAGGTCGATCCTCCCATGGGAATCCAGTGAGCAAATCTGCGGCGTTCAATGCTCTCTTCCGACGACTATATAGTAATAATAATAATCTCCACGATTTGAAACCAATCGATCAAATTCGAATTGATAACGTAATAAATCTGTGTTATATATTTAATAACAAAATCCTATCTGTTTCTCACAGATTTAAGGATTATAGTACTCGTCACGAACATAATTGCCGGATTGATAACCACGCTAATGATGACAATCGGCGATAAATACGACATTCCTTATCTGTATCTACCGTGGCTGGTGAATACAATGAAAGGAATGGCCCTGTGCGAAGGACCAGCCCTTATAAATTTGGCCAGCGCGCTTCTACCTAACGTTACTCTCCCCACAGCCGTTTTCACACTCGTCACTTTCGTATTATACGGTACAAAGACTCCAGTATTTTATGGCTAGCAGTAATTTCGGTTTTTATAACGCTATGTGCTTGCGAGAACCAAAGTTTCTCTCTTGCCAAGCCAATAACTTTCGCTTGAAGATTGACGAAAATCAATGCAATTCGATTTCAGCCGAGGAACTCTGTATCTGGAACAACGTGCTTGTAAGATTCCAGCGATGCTGGAGAGAGTACCACGATCGGAAGCTTTCCAGTATGGAGAAAGTTAAAGAGGAAATGTTTATCACGAGCAAGAAATTATTTTTTCACGGTGATACCAACGAGAAATTTCATATGGGCGTTGAGAAATTAAAGTCCGTACAAAAACCTGACGAATTCTCTAGAAATAATGACAATCGAATCAACGCGGATATTAGTTTCAGACCTGTTAAAAGTACTATCGGAGACAACGGCGATTCTATTCGTAATCAATTACCAAACTCAACAGGCTAATTAATTTTCGAATAGTAGAGTAAACAATTACCATTGTTAATTCTTAATGAAACAAAAACGTCAAGAAAGTAGAAAATGTACCTGTCTACTATTTGATACACTAAATTTATATTTTATTTTTCTACGAGAATTGATTATACTCATTCAATATTCGTTTGAATCTTGTACGATTTTATTTTATAATAAAAGCAGGATTTAATCTGTGAGTCGTTGTACCGTACTTTCGGAGATAGTCAATAAAAACAATTAGAATATGTAATAAATAACTCACAGTTCGATGACTTCGCACCCACTTTGCTGGACTTCCTCTCAGAACGCAGGACACCTCGCAACAGTAACAATTTTGTCCTCGAATCATAACCACCTTCTTCGCGAACGTTCCCATTGCTAAAATTAGGAACAAGTAACAATTAACGACACGCTTAACAATAAGATTCTGATACGAAAAACGTTGTTCATGATATCATATCTTGTATTACTCACTTGATCTCGCTATGGCGATTATTTTCATACCATTCACCCGAAGAATTTCACAGTTCTGACACAGTTTTTCACTTTAAGTTGAAATTACACACACGATTATACACACATGACGCCACTTTTTACCGATAACCAACATCTCTGTCGGTATTAACATTTAGGAACTTGACTATAGAAATCGATTGATTCGAACGATCATACTTCGCGATTAGAAAAATTTCGTGACTTACGCGTTATTTATGCATTACATGGAAAATGACGTTAATTTTAGTTGAAACCAGTTACTTATGCAGAAGATTCTAAAACCGTAGCGATACATATGCATAAGCTGACGATGTGCTACAGGCCGTAGGAAGTATTTTGACTTTTACTAATTATTATTAACAGATTTATGGAAATTAATATATACCTCGAAAGAGGAGTTCGTAATTAATCTAATTTGTACATTTATCGATATAGATACCTCATGAATTTAACGAATTTCTTCCGAAATTTCAGCAACGAAACGGCAGCCATGTATGCATACTTCGTGAAACAATAGACACTGCGCGCCAATTTTACTGCGTGATCGATATATTTCAATATATCAATATATCGATCACGATTCTCTGTTTACCATTCAAAGAACTTTTCTTACGATTCAAATCATTATTAAATTTCCTGAATTCCTAAATTGGACATTCTGTTCTTATAATTTGTAAATTCATTTAAGAAGAAAGTAATTATATTATCTCATCTTAATGAACATATCGAACTAGCTTTGACTCTATAACATAAATTCACCGAAAACATTAAAAACAGGTTGAATTAAACATTGGAGGAATTACAGTCACTAAAATTATGCACACTGTATTGATGAAATTACTTTGAATACATACTCTGATTCTCTTTTATAAGATTATTTTCTATCGTCGAATTAAACGAACTCCCGCCAAAAGTAGGAAATGGCGGTAAAATGTGCGCGCATGCGAACACGACAGATTCCTTTCACATCGGTGCAGGTTCAATCTTCGCGTTCATGCTGTGCTCGACGCTCGTACAAGTTGCACGCGTGCCGGTAATAAACCGTTGTTCAGGATAACATAACGGTCGTTCCGCTGGATCTCCTCGAATCTGACTACGTGAATTCACTCGCGACCGCTGGAACAGGACATCCTACGTAAAGAACATCCCGTATAACTTCCACGGAGCACGGTGAAAGCCTGTCCATCGTTAAAAAACCATCCAAACATCTAATAATCCGAACGAAATCAAGGTACGTGCACTCTATTCATACGAAACGTGTCCCAGATATCGTCGTTACCCGGTTAAGTAACGTAGAGACGATCGTGGAACGAAATATTTCTCGCGTTCATCAATCAATTCCGTAATTTTCGTCAGCCGAAAGCGTTCAATTTATTTTCGTGCACGCGAATCTCCGAGGACGATGAGATCACGGTTTGTATTACCATCCTTTTCTTTGTTTACCACCACAGAAAAACAATTTGTTTGAAATCGTAAGTAAGCAGATGCGACGTGTAGCAGGCTTGTATATGTGTAAGATTTAACGTATGAACAGGTAGAACAAAGTACGTACACATAGAACGCCGTGTCCCGCGTAATATACATACACACGACTGTAACGGCCGTGTCACGTGTTCAGTATTCAAGTATATTCATATATTTGTAATACCGGACCGTGGTTATGTGTGTGTGTGCGTGTTTATCGAGATCCATATTTTTGTGAAGGTTAGTTCGTCGAACATAACCTACCATCGGGACAAAATTAGGTTATTACTTCTCGATTTCCAAGAATATCTGTCTTTACTTCCCGTTAACTGAAACAACTCGTAAAACAAGGTTTATTGTACAATGTAATCTCTTGCATAGAAACAGTGGATAAGAAATAAAGGGGATTAATAATTCGGGCAGGCAGGTTTCTGTTATGTACATACATAGCTTATTCGTTTTATTGCATTTATGATACAATAATTCCGATATAACAAATAACAAGGATCAGCTAAAAAATATGACGATCATCAAAACATTATCCGAAAAAATGCGTTTCGTTGAGGACACCCAGAGACACGTCTTGCAAGAATATATTTCATTGCTTCTTTCATTTGTCATCGTTTAACTATTTAGCAAAACTGGATCTCTGAGTACAATCGATGCTTCTAATTTAAGCATCCTGTTTGTTATTTCTTACACTTTAATGGACGAATTGTGATTCACAATCCTTTTGAATATAATACATCTTGTTGGCATATGACCTCTCTTTTATTCGCTGTAACAGTTCATAGCAAAAGCTAAATTCATCTTGCAAACACTCAATGTCGTTGCTCGTATTGGCTCGAACAAGTTTACTGCTGTGCTACGCATATCGCAAACATGCTTATATTTCTAATTATAAGGCGATCCAATTATACTATTAGGCAACTATATTAGATTACATCGTTCTGTATTGAAATTCTCAAGCAAACTCCAACGAATATTGTTCCAGCTTCTAGAACACGCGCAACACTCAGATTACGTGAAATCAAATCGTTACCTATTGCAATCGTATAAAAAATGAGGCCTATGTAGATTATTCGTTAAAAATACGTCTAAAGAGGCTGACTAGAACCAGCGACACTTTCCTTTACTCTTACATTAATTGACTAATCCAAATGCAAATAAAAACTGAGATGAACTTGTACTCTGCTCTACGTATCAAATAGCTCTCCTTCTACACGTTATCTTACACCCATGCGACTGTGCTCGTTGTACTCGGTACGAATCTATGTCTATAAGAAATCATTCTCCTAAGTCTTAAATTTTTAAACTAAGATGCATCTCGAAACTTCTTCATGACTCAAACAAATCTTACACGATCCTCTTCCAGCTAATACTTCACCCAGCTGTGTATGTTTCTTTTGTTAGCGATTGGAGATTATCCAATAAATTGTAAAAAACGTTGCACACGTGAAGGATGGCTAAAACTTAGGTTCCTTCGGTCATCCTGTCACGTCTTTAAGACGAACCGCCTTCGAGGTGATCATTTCGTTTCTAACATTTTGAAAAAATACTCTCGTTCGTCTCAACGTCGTTCCCTATTTCGATTGTGAGAGTGTCGCACAGGCTCGTTTTTCATTTAATCGAAACGACTCCGCGTTGTTCTCTTCAAATGTTTAAACACGTCGAAAGAGGCGACGACATCGAGACGCTTCGTTGGAACTGTTAGAAACGAGCTTTAGACCTCGAAGGCCTCCCACTGCTACGCGATCAACGCCGTTATCGGGCTGAAACGCATTATTTTGCTGAGCGAGATCCACGCTACTGAGGCGAGGGCGCACAACGTGACGCCGCCCCATCCTAAGTCCAAGCTCCAGGAAGTGGAGAATCGTCTCGCTTTGAGAACGTTACGGGGAACCGGTCCGCCGATCACGCCGTCCTCAGGGCCGTGTAGGATCCGCGCGCCTCGATCCTGGGCCCTCTTGAAATGAATGATCGTCAGGGTGAACAATGCGAAGGTAGCTGGAACAGATTTTAGAAAAAGATTAGTTTTGACAACCGACCGTAATTCTTCTCTTTGCTCCTCTATTCATTTACTAATCAATGCATCAATGACTTGTTTATTGAATGCAATTTTTTTTAGTTACGTTACGCATTTTCATGACTATGCTAATTTGCTCTGTTTCTGAGCTACTTGTTTTTTCTTTATTAATAAGACGTATATTTTTTATTACATTTTGTTATATTCCCACAGAAATTCCCAATAAAAATAATATTATTATTTATGAATGAAAGAGTTATTTTAAATATTACATCGAGTCCATTCACCTTGAATGGCACGATTACTATCAATACGTAAACGATTGAATTTCGGGTGAATGAAACAATAGACTCGCTATGTCTAACAACTTGTTCTGCGGTCGACTTCGCCAGTGCCTGGAAATACCGCGGTTACGAACTTTCCCTTCGACCACAATTCGTCGCGTTGAGGAAGTTTGCTCGACTAACGTGATGATCATGTATTTACCAAGCTCATCAATAGACTCACCTGCTAGAAAATACATGACACCGGTAACAAGGATCGCTGATATTTGATGCCTACAGAGTCCGAAAAATCCGATGAGGACGGAGGTGCCTAGGATGATCAGACAAACTAGAGAACAGGAGATGCTCAGATTTTGCATCCCTGCAAAACAATGTTTTACCTTCATTTAAAAAAGAATTTAGTTTATAATACACGGAATAGATATTTCATGATTTGTTATTAGGAATAGAATCGAAAACATTTTTTGTGTTAAAGGACGTTATTGAAACATTTTCGATGCACAGTTAGCGAAAAAATAAATTCAGTGATCGCACGTGATTACGAAGAGATGAAACGCGTGGGAGAAGAAAGGTAACATATACCGTACTTACGATTCTGCCATGCGGCACGAATCTCCTCGTGTGCTTCGTCAGGCGTCAAGTAGTTAATGCACCTTTCTTGCGGGAAACCTACCTGACCCAGTAGTCGTATTTCCTCCTCTGAAACACGGGAAGCGATGAAAAGAACAGAGGAACGACGTCGCGTTCACGCTAGTTCTTTGTTAAAGAGCAACAGAATTGTGAAATACGCATACGTCCCTCTCGCCAACGCCCCGATTTTTAATTAAAGTATTTCTAAGAGTTCTAATCACACAAGCAAATTTAATATAAAAATATTAAACCTTTGCCCTGAAAAGAAATAAATTGAAATCGACTTTTATATGGTATTATATTAGAGCGACTTTATTCTTTATGCTAGATCGGTTTTTCTGGTCAAGGTTACTTTAGTTAAACATTAATTATATCAATATTCGTTTTAACAAAGTGCAAAGCTTATTATTACATTTCTTTTTATCAAATGACATGGTCTGGTTAACTAAGTACCAAGTGATGAGCGCATACCTATCTATTCAGATTAACAAGTCTCGACTGCACGGAATAGTTGGGTCGTGAGATGATTCGATATTAGATTCCGAATATGTACTATCGGTTCTTCGAATAGTAGAGTGAACTTGAACGTGAATATCCGTGAAATGTCAGGGAAACTGATGAAGAAAGAAGGTCGTCTCGGAAACTTGGAAGAATCGAGTAATAATAAATTCTGTGGCATAAATAGACTAACTGAAGTTCAGTGGGTCTCCGGGTCTCCTCACATGTGATAAAAAATGGAAAAGATTGGATTACGAATAATTAAAGACGGAATTCGGTCCGTCGAATCGAAAACATTTAGAAGAATTACACTGAAGACGAATAAGAAAGTAAAGAAAAAAAAGCTTCAGGAGTTTTGTTATAAATAGAAGCGATTAGTAAAATCCAACGTTTTGCAAATGATGGAGTAGCGACATGTTTATCAAGGGAGAAGAACGAGACTGCATTAGATCGTATCGAGCCCCTAGATTTAAGTCAACAATTTTAAACTGACTAGTACCAAGTGATGAGCGCATACCTATCTATTCAGATTAACAAGTCTCGACTGCACGGAATAGTTGGGTCGTGAGATGATTCGATATTAGATTCCGAATATGTACTATCGGTTCTTCGAATAGTAGAGTGAACTTGAACGTGAATATCCGTGAAATGTCAGGGAAACTGATGAAGAAAGAAGGTCGTCTCGGAAACTTGGAAGAATCGAGTAATAATAAATTCTGTGGCATAAATAGACTAACTGAAGTTCAGTGGGTCTCCGGGTCTCCTCACATGTGATAAAAAATGGAAAAGATTGGATTACGAATAATTAAAGACGGAATTCGGTCCGTCGAATCGAAAACATTTAGAAGAATTACACTGAAGACGAATAAGAAAGTAAAGAAAAAAAAGCTTCAGGAGTTTTGTTATAAATAGAAGCGATTAGTAAAATCCAACGTTTTGCAAATGATGGAGTAGCGACATGTTTATCAAGGGAGAAGAACGAGACTGCATTAGATCGTATCGAGCCCCTAGATTTAAGTCAACAATTTTAAACTGACTAGGTGACTGCATAGGTTGATTTAAACAAAACGATCCGTGCCTGCCGTGACCAGAAACCATCAAAGGAAGTTCCCCAAAAAAGAACTGCACGAACTAGTTACGCAAACTCGCGTTTTCGAAGGTCAAGTTCATTTGATCACAAAGTGATTCACGAATTTTCACTGAAACTTATGGAAGAAGATTGAAATAGTGATTTTTCGCTCGAAGTTCCTCGACGTTTTCGATGAAACGAGAAAATTAAACGATCGTGACGTAAAATCAGCGTCGATTGACCGCCCACGCAGCTGAAAAGCTACTGCAAGCTCGTCGGAAGCGGACGAGTTTCCAGTCGGAAAGTTTCAATCCCGATACTCAAGTCTCTTCAGAGACGATTCGTCGTGAAGCACGAAAAGGTTTTCGCACGCAATTTCGAGACATTCAAGAAATTTGTCACGGGATTTTGTGATTCGCGAGAAGCTGCCTCGTTAGTCAACGAGGACTTGAAGCTGGAAATAATTGCATAGCTCGTTAACGGAGTGCACTGGTAGAAATTAATAATAAAATTATTGATTTCGATGGTTGCTGGCTAAAACTAATTGCATCGTTTGTCATCGAAGTCGCGGAATTATTGGAAGAGGATTTTTCAAGTTCTTCGAACGTGCAGACGTTTTCTTTTTTTTAACTGTGCCGTCTTTAAGCTTCGCTCATATAACGAGATTCTGTCGTTAAACTAGATGATCCCCTAGTGTTTCGCTACAATTATCCTTTTTTTCTAACATTCCCTGAGCACTGTTATAACAAAACAAATCGATACTCGGGAATATCGATTCGAATGCTCATTAGGGATAATCGTCCCCCGTGTAACGCTAAATCTTCACATTTCGCGGTAGCCTCGTTGCTGGTCAAGTTAATATTTGATTTAACGAAATATTGAATTAAACGGAAAATTTAACTGAATATGCATAGCCTTTTAACGTGCCACGTGTCGTTTAACAAGCATTTCATACGAAACCCTGTGTGCCGTAGTTACAATGTCGTTTACAGTGCAGATTCAATTTTCCATTTTCCATCAAAGTTTCATTCGACATTACTAAAAAAATCAGAGAATCAAGGCCGTAAGTGTACATGAGGTACGACCTTTATTTTTGACTGGTCGCATCCGCGTTACGCCCTTTGATACCGTCACTAACTTTTTTCTTATTCCCGAGAAGAACGACCTAATTTTTTGTCAGTAAGAATCCAGCTGTATTCTCTTATTAAATTCCACAACCAAACGTTCTCACTTTTGATAAGAATCACGATTGTGTTAAGAATTCTACCGTGAAACTTGATTAAACTGCACACTATTACAAAATTTTTTCTACCGTCAGTTTCTGCACGAGGAAAGAAATAGTCGTAAATCCTTCTGCCTTGATTAATCAAGCAAAAATAATCCTTCTGTGTAAAAGAATGAAAATAGCAGCCGCATTGATCCATCACAACGAATGTTAGTAGTTTCAAGCTTTCCCTGCTTAGTACGGTGAAAGTGATTGCTGCTTTCAACGTACAAGATGTTCACGGTCGTGGCGTGCACCTAGTCGGACAGCAGTACGGTGTTTCAGATCGTAATCGACTGGTCGATAGCGTGGTCAGAGTCAAGGTGGTGTACGCATATAGAATACAGAACGCGTTCCATTCTAATTGCGCATACTACTACATATCTACGCTGAATTCCCCACGGATGTCTAGTATTGAATATTCACGGTCATTTTTCATTTTTGCTTAACAAAAACGTAATCGAAGAAGGCTTGAAATTCTCCAAAGAAAAGACTTAGTTAACCATTTGACAATCTACTAAAATAATTAAAAAAACTGACCGACTTTTATGTAATCTTATGTATGTGTATATTACTTTATATTGCTTAAATTAAATATTATTTTACTCGTCATGTTAAATCAACATAAGACTCAATGTGTCTGAACTTCAGGATCAGCGCAAAGGGTTTCTGATATTGTAATTATTACTCTAAAATCTCGTGACTTACCCGTGAGTGAGACGCACATGATCCAAATGCCACCGTACATCGGCACGAGGAAGGTGGGTCGCCTGCCAGGATGATGATTCTTGTGACCGGATTCCAGCAATGCCACCTGACCGTCCAGGTACCACGTAAGGGTGACGTTCGCGTGGGTCAGGGCCTCTTTATCCCAACTAACTTCCTCCCAGTGATCCGACATTATAGCACCGCATAACAGTCCCGTTGCTGGAACAGAAAAAGAACGTTCTGTAACAACTCATCGAAGTCTTGTTATCCAGTAAAAAGTGAATGTTACAGCTCTCGAGTCTTATTTCTTTTGTGGCAGAGTGCTCTCATTGTTATTAAGTCTCCGTAAGTCGGTGATCGACTCTCTGGCACATTAATGGAACCATGTCGAGAAGAGTTACAACAGTTTTCTTTAAAAAGTGTTTGCACGATGTTGAAATGAATGTCTAAAATATGTAACGCTCAGAAATAATAGATATTTGGGATATTGAAGAATTCTTATAAGATACCGTGTCCTTCATTGAAGAGAATAAAAGGTTCTTCAAGGACAGAGTAATAAAACTGCAAATGTCTGATCTGTGATAAGAAGTCAAACGTAATAGACTTCTCGTTAAAATTTCTCCTCGCACGTGAAATCAGCCTTCTTTTAAAAATGAAATATGATATTTGACCTACGCAATAGTGAGCGTCTGACCACGCGTCGAGTCATACTACTTAAAGCATTACGTCTTGGAGGCTTGGCTGCTACGGATTCTACTGTTGGGAATGGATCTTCTCCGTTAATTTCGTTAAGAGAAAAACGATTTTGCAACGACCATAAATCCGAGGTTCTCTGCATTCATTGCGCGCCACCGAGGAAAGAAAGGCTCGTATTCGCGTCACGGCCAGACCGCGCGTTGTAGAAAGATTTTATTGGATAAGAAATCCGAAAGTCGTCGTTGAAAGGAAAAGGACGTAGAAATATTTGTCAGCCCTCAAGCTCTCCTTTTCTTCTCCGGTGCAAAAAAATGCACGATGCGATGAATTCAACCGGTGGTTGCTGACTTCTCTAACAGAGGAACTTACAATCTAAGAAGAGGCTTTATTGTAACAAGTTTATTTATATTACTCGAAAAATTGTATTGTATTGTATTTTACGCCTCATGTTTTTTTTATATCAAATATCCCTTGACTTTGGCATAGAAATAGCAGCGATCAGATATGTTTAAACAAATTTTACATTAAAATTGCAAAAAAATCAGTTTATTGGTATAAGCGATTGTAACTGTGTAATGAAATTTACATCTACGATATGTAAACCGCTAGCTAAGGTATGCAAGTAAGGAGTTTATTCGCTCGCGCGTTTATCCCATTAGAAGATTTAAACATTGCCGGTCTTCAACGTGGCGAGCGGGTTCAATGGAAATATCTACTGAATTAGAAAAATCACATGCCCCGATACTGTTTTAGGTACAGAAACTTCTCCTCTAATTGTTTCTAGGTATAATTTCCACAAGTAACAAATTTCATTCATTCCTCAAAATGGAAATTCTTCTGATCAGCTGATTGCGTAGTCTACAAACAAAATGTGAAATTCCAAGGGAAAACGCTACTCATAATTGAACATACACGCGTCTAAGAAATAGTTAAGACGAAACGAGCCAGTTTATCCATCGGATCGTCACTTGTGTGAGGCCACTGTTTCTGAGGATCGAGAAGCCGGTTCGAGGGGACGTACACGTTCAAAATAAAATTCCGTTTGGAGAGAAAACATAGAAGATCGTAAAAATGGAGTGACATCGTCGTTACCTGCGACAGTGAGGGTCAGCGTGACGACGAGGAAAATTAGAAGCGGACCTGGGGCCCTGGGTACACGGGTGGGCTCCATCCATGCAGGTGGTAGTCGACCGCTGGCAGCCCACTGAAAGCCGCACGAGACCGCACGGACAGACGCCAGTTACGCACTGGCCGATCGACACCCCCGTACGGTACGGAGCACGCAGCAAGTAGTGGTGTTTTCGACCAAGTTTCCACCGTCTGCGAAGAAGGGGTGTTAAACGACCAGCACGCCCTCACCGTTCTGCGTCGAAGCTCACGAAAATCGACCGACGTACCACCCACCACGACCGCCCCACCCGGATGCTGCGGACAACCCTGTCCGATGATACTCTCTCTCTCCATCTCTTTTTCAGTCCCTTTCTTCGTTTCCTCGGGTTGCATCTGTCCACTCTTCTTAACCGACTCTGAATCCTGAGATTGTTCTTTTCACAGTCGGTTTTTCTTGCCGAGGTTTATTAAGGATGATGAGACGATTCTTTATCCGCACTGTCAGCCCCGTGATTGTTCCTTTGAAATCCTTCATTCCGTCTTTTTGAAAGACGTGTTAAAGTCCCACGGTTCCTTTGTCTATAAAAGGAGACTTTTATATATTTTTGTATCGCTAGACTTTTTAAAAAAGAATAACCAGTAACGAGATGAGTTCCTCAAGTTTTAATATAAAGAAACTGTAAGTAGATTCTGCGCGCTATCGATTTGCAACTGATATCATCGAAGATTTACTTAGCTATGTCGTGAGAGCATCATATTTTTATCTCAATAATTACTAGCTTAATCGTCTTGCGGTGGTCCATTAAAAATCAGTGCGGCGGAACGCTACCGGGGATCTCTGCTCGTTAGGAGCTTGTTTGCAGCATTTGTAGGAGAACGGTGATTGTCTCTTAACGAGCTCCTCTCACGATTGTTCTTATGTTGACACGATACTCCACAGACATTTAAATGCTCCCCTCTGAAACATTTGTTTAAACTCTGCTCCTTCAATGCATTTAGCTATCTAAACCACTACTTCCCTCTTCCTAAGGGAAACACATTGATTTAAGGACTAGGATATCCTCCCAGTTATTTTTTATTCAGATTTCAAATGAAATTAGAATCATTTAAAAAAATGTTTATATTTTTACAATCTTTACCTTCATGTATTGTATATTTACTACAATTAATAGAAAGCTCGCGGCCTACACGCTATTCGACTATTACGAATGGGGGTAGCTACTTAAAAATAAAAAGAGAATACTTCTAGCCTGGATTCGTGGATTCCATGGTTTTTCTCTATTTACTAAGTCAGAGTTAACGTTGAACCAGGAAGAGAAATAAGTTATCGCTGCGTTAGAACATAATATAATCTACATTTTACAGAGAAAGCATGACACGTAGCACGCGTAGGTGGAATATTCCGCACACGTATTAATTGCATCACGACATTAACAGTGCTCCACGCCGTCATCGTGGGCGGTTGATCAAAGAGCATTTTTCTCCTGCGAATGTCGACCGATCATCGATGCGGATCAAATGTTGAACAAGTTGAAATATTGAAAGGATCGCCACGGTCCTTGGAAGAGTGCCTCGACCAGAATTATTTTATCCAACTTGTCATTCTTGTAGATTGTACAGAACAGCCGTTGCAAATTTCAATCCTTCGCGATTGTAAAAGTTAAGAATTCACAACTAGATGATTAAGGTAGCGATGATCTGGTGTAATAATAAAACAAGACAAAGAGAATGAATGCTGGAAACGAGGGAACAAAGAGAAAATTTAATTTTAAGTTGCGGAGTTTCTATTAATTCTCAGATCTCTAAGGAACTGTGGAGCGCAGTCTTGCAGCATGATTAAGTGGCGACAAGGGGTAACAAGACTCGTTTCACGTTGCAGATGGCTGATGTAGCTGAGAGTGCGGCCTTCACCGATCCGGCGACCGCAATCTCCCACGGGAAACGTCACCTGTTGGTACGGGATTACACAATGGCTGTGTCCGCGTTGGAGCAAGCCTGCCAGATGCTGGCCGAGAAACACGGCGATACGGCGGATGAACTGGGTGAGGCGTACTTGCTCTATGGCCGCGCTCTTCTGGGACTGGCCAGGGAGGAAGCCGGAGTACTAGGTGGTGGAGTGCCGGGCACAGAGGGCACCGAGGAAGATGAAGAGGAGGACGAGGAAGAAGCAGAGGAAGAAAAATTGAGCAACGTCGACGAGAAAGAAGAGGAAGAGGGCGATGGAGCGACCAGCGAGGAGAAGAAGGAAACCGGCGCGGGAAAAAAAGACGAGGATTCGAAAGCTGAAAGTAAGCCACTGGAAGCTGAAAAGAAGGAAGAGAAGGCAGAACCCGTTGAAAAGAAAGAAGCGGAAAAGGTGAACGTTAAAGAGACTGACGATACTAAAGTGAAGGGTCAGGCGGAAGGAAAACAGAAAGATGAAGAAAAACAGAAGGACGAAGAAAAACCAGCGGCTGGTTCTAGCAAAGACGCGGGCCACGCTAATGGACCATCTTGTTCGCGTGAACAGAACGGAGTGGCGAACGGAGAGGATGAAGAAGAGGATCTGGAAAAGGAGGACGAAGAGGAAGAAGTGAACAATTTGCAGGTATATATTTTTGTATTCACCTTGAAAATAGACTGCATACATAGTGTATCGTAAACAGATTGAGACGTTGAAAACATTTGTTACAGATTGCCTGGGAAGTCTTGGAGCTGGCGAAGGTGGTGTTGTTGAAACGCGGTCAGATTGGTTGGAAACTCCTGGCCGACGCTTATCGGCTCCTGGGCGAAGTAGCGATGGAGGGTGGCAACTTCCAAGGCGCATTGAGCGACCTGCAGAAGTGCTTAGATCTACTGCAACAAATTGAACCGCGGGAACCAAGGGCGATAGCCGAGATCCACTATCAGTTAGCTCTGGCGCATTCGTTGGGTAACGAGTTCGACTCCAGCATCGAAGAATTCTACAAGGCCACGGAACTTCTTGAAGCACGAATCAAAGAACTCGAAGAGATGAAGGACCCGCCGAAGACGGATGATTCTTTCTATACCGTCGAAGGGGAGATTCAAGAGTTGAAAGACCTGCTCCCGGAGATACGAGAGAAGATATCTGATATGAAGGACTTCAAGCAGGAGGCTTGCAAGCTTGTGATAGAAAGTATCAGGAGCAAAGTAGCCGGCGGTTGTTCGAACGGCGCCGGACCCAGTGGCGGCAGCAGCAGCAGCAGCACAAGCGATTCTGCGTCAAAAACCCAGAAACCCGCCAGCGATATATCTCACTTGGTGCGCAAAAAGCGAAAAGGCGACGAATCAGAACCAGAAGTGGCGTCGCCGTGCAAAAAACCGACGCCGGAGAAAACTCTTTGAATATGTGTGTTTTCTTTATGGGACGTTTTTGACACGTTGTTGCTTTGTATGGTGCGGTGAGGAAGCGAAAATAAACTGTATCGATAAGTGGTACTTTTAACGTTAGACTATAAGAAAAGAAGAAGTGATCCTGGTCAATGGAAAGACCGCTGGATATCACAAACAAGATTTCAGGTTTTAAAAAATATCAGACGAGACTTAATTTTAATTATTCAATGATCAACACGTTTTTGTATTTTATATTATTCGTTCTATTTTCAGTTTTCTCTTCGTAATTCGTTTTATTTATTTTATGTGAGTTAATCAACGAGGATACTGTCTAAATTATCGTTCCCCTTCATAGTCTCTTTATAAGATATTTCGGAACCTTAAGGAGTAAGGCTGTTTATGTATAAGTCTAATTAATAAACGTTGCAGGATGATTTTTTTCTAAATTGTTCACAGGTAGGAATTAACCAACACGTTCCCAAATATAGCTTCATTATTTTCTAAATTACAATATACATATATATATTTATTATACAAACGCTTTGATATAACAATTCAATTTGTTTTGGCCAACGAGTCATCTTGCATTCTTTAAGGAACTTATAACAAGAAACTTTCACTTGGTTCTGACAGGCTTCAAAGGCACGATGATTTATCAGCCAAATCAATATTTTCTATACTTGATCACACGACTGGACGGATTGCGTTATTTAACTCGGTGCATTCAAATTACAAAATTATATACACATCTATTCACCTAAAAGTTCTTCGATATCGTCTTCCTTGTCGGAGCTTTCCTCGCGTTGAATCTTCATTTTGTAACCGAGACTTTCTAATACTCCGACATTGTAGTAATAACCGAGATTAATTCCAGGTACTAAACGTTTTAATTCCTCTACGGTAGCGCGAGCCTTGTCGGTGTCGCCGATCTCTATGTAATGCTGAGTTATAGTCGCGAACAGATCGCCCCGTCGAACCGATTTCTCCAAATCCGGGCCTTGAGATTCGAGTAACTGTCGCACCTGTTGCATGGCGGCATTAGTTTCACCTCTATCGAACAGCCTGTAAAAATATTCAAACTTTTATATTTAACGATCGGTTTCTCACTTTGGTTGATCAAATAATGTCAATTTAAAATAAACGTACTTCTTTATATCCAAATAACGCCTGATCGCAGCTATTCTGTTATTTACAAGATCAACAGCCCTCTTGTGAATATCGAGGTCTCTCGTCGTGGTCACTTTGGCTAGGCATCTCCCTGCCTGGTTCAAAGCGTCCAATGCTTTTTCGTAGTTCTGAAACTCGTCGATCTCGACTTGAGCACAGGCAACGTAGAAATTCGCCAACAAATCCATTGCTTTCCCTTTCGAATAAAAGTTGATAATATTCTTCAATACTTCGGGCTGATTCTGCCAATCTAAGGACTGTAAATAGTTTCCAGCCATTATATAAATTTCCTTTTGTCTAGACACTTGAGCGAAGAAACAGATCTTCTCCGTGTCTCCGGATTTTAAAAGCGCTTTCATGGCTCTCAGTTTGTTACCAGCCTGGGTGAACTTTTTGGTCGCTAAATGATAGTTTCCTTGCTCGAATGCGATCTCGCCGATCCTCTCCAATATCGATATTCGAATCTTTTCATGGTCCAGATCGTTGTCAACTTTGTCCAACGTCATTTTCTCAGCTAAATCCTCGCTCAACAGAATATTATGCTTCTGCATCAATTCCAAAGCTTCGAGGTATTTCCTTCCCGTAGCGAGTAAATCGACCGCTTTCTCGATCTGATCGTTTTGAACGAAGTATTCGGCGCATTTATCTATCAAAGCGGGATCGGAATCCGCGTTCACATCCATGACGATCAATTGCAGCGCGCTGTACTGTTTCGTCTTGAATGCGATCTCCAAAGCCTTGTGCAATAATCCTGCTTTGTGATACAACAGAACCGATTTATCCGGTTGGTCATTCTCCTCGTAATACTTCGCCACGTCTATCTGCGATTGCCTCGGAGCCAGTACAGCCAGGGGCCACAGTTCCTCGAACATATCGTGCTCCTTGCACAACCGGATCGCGTTCGTGTACGCTTTCGCAATGGTATAGAAATGAATCGCCTGAGTCACGTTGTTTTTCGACTCGTAATGAGCAGCCAAATGGTACGCGGAAGCAGCGTGGTTCGTCCGCGATACCAGTTCGCCCACTTCGTCCTCCCTGCCGAAATAGCAGAGCAGTCGGGTCATAGCTAAGGTGTTATTTGCCTGTTCATACAGTTTCAAAGCTCCTTCCATGTCTCCCGTCGATTCGATGTACTGCGCGTGCCAGTTTTTGATTTCCGTATCCTCGGAGTTGTTGAGATACGTTAACAGCTCCCTGGGTCTCGCAAGTAACATCCTCGGTACCTCGAACCTATGGCAATCCGCCTTCGTGTACATCTCTATAGCTTCCGCTATTTTCCCTTCTTGTTCGAGGGCTTTCGCATAATTGTAATAACTCGTCTTTTCGCAAATCTTATTCTCGTTACTGGCCAATTCTATCGCTTCCTTGAATTTATTTCGTGCCTCCAGTAGCCTGCCTAATAAATCCAGTCTTTTACCTTCGCGGAACAAACGTTCAGCGTCGTTATACAGTCCTAATTCCACGGCTAATATTCCTACTTTCGCTTCCAAATTTAAACTGTCGTCCTGCATAGCCTCTCTGAGAGCTCTCGCCGCCCTGGCCTGTTTCATGTGACCGAGACAAAGAAGAGCCATGTTCAACTGTTTCGTCTTTACACACATTCGCGCGAGGCTTTTCCAAATCCCTTCGTTCTTAATCGACTTTATCGCCTTGAAAGCCTCGTCCATGTTGGCAACGCTAATGTGGAAACTGAAATCCAGCACAGCTTTTTTCGTAGCGGAATCGCACTCGCCGAGTTCCTCAAAATCTCGCATAAGCAGCTTCGTTATTTTACTGTTCCTCTCCGCGATTTTCTCAGAGTTCAAGATAATTAAGTACGGAGTATGAACGCCTAACACTCGGCAATTCTCGTCTTTGATGGGTTTTATATCCTGGACAACGATCCCGTGGTCAGACGTAGCGAACATCGATACCAAGACTACCGTCGTTTTCGACACGTCATAATCGTTCTCGTTTGTTAATTTCGACGATTGCTTTAAGTCTCTCGTCTCCAATCTCTGAGCTCGACACACCAGCAGTCTAGGATCTTCCGCGTCCCAACAATGCGCGGTGACCAGCCTTCCTCTACATTTAACAGCCAACGCGGTTTCGTCTTCATCTAAATCCTTCGACTCGGAAAAGTCGAACTCGTGTATCTGATCGCTTTCTATGTCCCATACGTAGAGGACCGGACTGGGCATCAAATTGGCCATCGCGACGGTGATCGACACGCAGCGGCAATCGGCGTTACAACTCGCCTCGATGATCTCGGCGAAATCGCTGATCGCCTCGTAAGCTTGCATCGCTCTGGTGTGCAGCTTCGCTTCCCGTTTACTCAGATCCCAAATCTTCAAGATACCGTTCAAAGACCCGACCGTTAGATACTGCCCGGTCAGGTCCATAATGATCGGCTCGCCTTCCTCCGGCAACGTCGGCAACGTCTGAACAACCGTACCTTCCATCGAACGCAATTGTATAACAACAGGAGTGAGAACGATTAGAGTGTGATCGTAAATCAACAGTTTCTCCGTGTCGCAGCTGAAATTGGTGATCAAAGTAGTATTCAAAGAGGTATCCCTGATCATCCTGTACGTTACTATTTGTCTACCAGACGAGACGGACACGTATTCTTTATTGACAGCTACCAGCTGCACTTGAATCTCAGTTTTCAACACGTGGGTCGTGCCGTCGATTTCGATCAAAATCTGGGTAGGACTCAATTGGCTGGCGCAAACGCCGTCATTGTACATAGCGCACATCGGTTGCTGATGTAATATGAAAACGTTTGTGAGGCAGTTCACGGCGAGTAACGGACTACGTAATAAAGAAGCGCCCCACGTGAGTTGTTTCACGGTACCGTGGACGCTGCAAGATTCGGGAACATCGGGCCACCCGGTCTCATCGCCATCGGTTTCAACTTTGCGTTTCCATAAGTAAATTGTTCCCAAATTCGTTCCCGCAGCTAGAGTGCCTATGCAACCAAACGTTACTCATGTAATGAATAATCTATTCGATTTTCTGTACCAAACAATCGTTAGCGTACCATTATTTTTGCAAAAAGATATGCTTGTACATATTTCTTGCGGGGTGGCGATGCTTCCCATAATCGAATCCGATGGGGAGAGCACGTAGGTATCTCCGGTGTGAAGATCCCAGCAACGGACGCCCAATTCGCCGGTGAGAATCGCTAAAATGTTTATCCCAGCCCAACAAATCGCTGGACCAGTTCGCGATGCATCTGACCTACTGCTAAGTTTCACCTGCGAATGGACAACGTTGAAATTTGTACAAAGTAACGACTACAGTAGAACAAATGTTTAAATTACTTTTGTTAATTCGGTCAGTCGGCCTGTAATGGGATCTGTTTGAAAGTGCTGTATGTTCAAACCGTCGGTCATAACGATCAAAGAATCTCTGGTCTGATGGTGTAGGAGAAACTGTAACGTGGCACCGTTCGTGCTAAGAATTTCCGCGCACTGTCCCTGATTGTCGACGAAGTAAATTACACCTCCAGTGGTCCCTATATAAAAGGCGTGATTATCTTTCTGAATAACAGATGCTGTAGGTGCAGCTGTTCGAGGGCGCCAAGAGCTGAACATGTCCAACGCTCTCTCGTCTCCTGCCACTGCAGCTCTCGCCAAACCGCTAAAAATAAATTTGGAGTACATATAAATTACGAATAACGTGGAGTCAAGTGATTTACCTACTCTACCTTATGTCCATCATCGACTTTGGGGCAACAGTCTTGAATACTATTTGCGTGAAGGAGTCTTTCAGTTCATGATGGAACATCATTAACAGTTGACCCCTGGAGTCGATCTTCCAACCGACTATGGACCCAGCCGAGTCTGCAGATACCAGCCTTCCTCCATGCTGGCTCCATTGCAGAATCGTGATGGAATCACGATGCGGAGTGACTACTAAGTTGAATTCTGCTGTGCCGGTATCGCCTGGCCATACCTGAACAGCATTTCAGTTTTAAGATCTGTTCTATTTGATGCTGAAGTATCTTTACGAAGTTGAAAAGGATTGCTGACCCGCAATTCTCCGCTTTCCCATCCTACTGCGAGCCACCTCCTCTCTGGATGCCATCCAAGGGCAGTTACTTGGGCAACGGAATGTCTGGGCGATTCAACTTCCTGCATAAGCTCTCCCTGATCATCATAAATCGTCACGAAACCACCCTTGTCCTGGGAATACGCAGCGACGGCCAGCAGAGGATAATTTGCATGCCAGTTCGCGTCAGTGCTTATCGACGCGGTTTCAGGATTTTGCACGCGTGTATCAAAGTAGAGCGACATTGTCTACCTTCTCACTATCTACGTGGATTTCATAAAAAATATTTGAAGCTACACAGCTTTTTTGAATTCGTTCATAGAGAACTTCGTGACGAGAGCTCGAGCTCTTGCAACTATTTACATCTTTTACTATAATTCGTTTTATAAGTTCGTTAACAAGTTTCGCACGTATAATTGTTAAATAATGGTACGATACTTGACGAATATTTTAATTAAAAAGATGTTCTCTGTCATGTTTGACAGCTCGGTGGCTTGTCGACAACAATTGTTGCCATAGCAATTCAAGGCCTTAGAGGCAGAGAGGTAGTGAGAGTGCTCGTACACAGAATTTCAGGATTCTCATACGAGTGCTGCACCAAGAGGCTAACTTTCGAAAGGGCCCGACTTCGAATGCTGGAAGGGGCCCGACTGTGACCACTGAGAATGTATTATTAAAGAGTGGCAGCGCCCGTGTAATCGTTGGGACAGCGAATGGGGCCCAATGGGACTCAAAATGCAGTCGGCAATCGCTGTTTACGGTGGAGTTAGAAGGAAATTGCATAGGACCTTTCTTGTATCTGGCAACTGGAGCTACAACTTTTCCCTGAAACATCGCTTAGACGAAGAAAAAGTTTTTTCAATAAACAATTTGATTTATTAATTAATTATCAACGCTATCGAAAAAGTGTTTATACAGAAGTTGTAGGCACTAATGTCCTCTACAAGAAAGGTTCTATGAATTTTTCTTCTAACTTCAGTATTTAACGAGTTAAGTATGATAAATTGCCATTTTATTGGTATTGACGAAATCCGGCCGTCTCACCGTCGAAATAGTGAACTTTTAGCAAAAAATTTCGTTTTTCCTCAGTAACTCCTAAACTGTTCGACTTACGAGAAAATTGTATAGGACCTTTCTTGTAGAGGACGACGAGATCTACAATTTCTGTATAAGAACTTTTCGCTAGCATTAATAGTTTACGAGTAATTGACGAAAAACGAAAAAACAGTTTTTCGCAAATTACTCGTAAACTATTAAAGCTAGCGAAAAGTTCTTATACAGAAATTGTAGATCTCGTCGTCCTCTACAAGAAAGATCTCATGCAATTTTCCCGTAGGCCCAACCGTTTGAGAGTTATTAGCAAAAAACGAAAATTTTGGAAAATCTGAAGGGGTTCCCCTTGGAAAAATCTCGGAAAAAGAAAAATTTTTTTTGTCTCAAAATTTCGAGAAATGCTTCAAATAGAAGTTGTAAGTACTGCTTTTACTTGCAAAAAAGATCGTATACAATTTTTTTCTATCTCGAATACTTCAGGACTAATCACAATTTACACTTCTTATCCTAAGAATGGATACCATGATGACGCGCTGGTGGCCGTCCTGATTAAGGAATTAAAAAGTATATTAGGAGGCGGATAAGATAGACAAAAGACGGGCTAACATTGTTTATTACTTTTTGTATTCAAGGTATCCCGAATTAATTATTACAAGCAATAATTACAATGAAAGGTAATCGAATAAAAAGCGATGAAACTAAACGTCAGACGTTACACCTCATTATTGGTCACATTATTTCATTCTTCAATGATTGATTTTATTCACATTTTCACTGTTCTTCTCATGTTTATACTGCCTCTCACCCACTCGCTCGCTCTCGCATTCTCGCTACCTTTCGCTCTCCCACCCTCTCCTCCTTTCTTCCCCATTAGTAATTTGTACTTCTCTATTGGCGCAATCGCTTGCCTCTCTAGTTTCTAAGAAACCGACCGATTGCTTCACCAACGTCGACAGATTTGCGAGGTTTTAACTATACGTTATGTTTTACAACGACAATAATGTCGATGAAACGATGCGAATCGATTAGTGAATCATAATTTACTAAACGATTTTATTACACTATGCACGTGCGAAAAATTAACGATTTTAACATGAAAAGAGAAACAACAGTGTAAAAGAATATAATCACTGTGAGGGATGGATTAAAGATTTACGAGGCTTGGGACTAAAATGAATGTGGGGCCCACAAAGGCAGCAAAAATGATCATTTTGTGATTATAAATAAAAACTATGCTATTATTTTTTCAATTTATTCTCATAAATCGAGCTCACTCGCCTTTTGGATGTTGAGGCCTAAAGCTAGCCCCACGTTTAATCCCCCCTGATCACTGTTCGTCTAACTTCGATTTACTCTTGAGTAGTCTTCTGTCACCTTAACAATGTTCGTAGATTTACTTGTGTCTCATTGCAAGTTCATGTTGCTTGCATCCAAGAAGACTGTTATCAACCCTTTCGCTACCCTAGACAAGATATTTCGCGGCACGGTGCCAACCGGTTAACGTTTTTAACGAGATATCTTGCCCGATTAACGTTTTTGATGAGATATCTCACATTGCAGCTGACTGGCGAGATATCTCGTCAAAAGCATTAATCGGTCAGCACCGGTTGGTGAGATATCTCGTCTAGGGTAACGAAAGGATTAACATTTATTTTAACCGATCTTCAAACATTCGACAAATTAAAAACGATCAAAGGGCTTTCTTTGGGAATGAATTTATTGATCGAATCGCGTCGCAAAGATCGTTAAGTTAACAACGATGAAATTTCATCAACGTCGACATTAACTGCTTGAACAAAAATCTGGTTGGTTAACAGTAAAATGAACGTTTTTTCTTTTCTTCTCTCTTTTTTTTACCCGTTGACAATAATTATACACCATCTTGCTAAATACCAGGTCTGTACATATGAAACCGGAATTTGCATACGTGGCGCTAGCTGCCAATGTAATACCGCGCCAATAACGCCATTTTCTTGTTTTGACATCTGATAAAGATTATCAACTCACAACCATACAAGTTTCATACAACAGCATAGTTTTTAATAGCGTTGAACATGTCGAATTTTGTGCCTGGAAATTACGATTTGCGGGCAGCTTTGATTTTCTGTTATCATTTGAAAAAAAAACTGCTGCAGAATCGCATCGAATGCTTGTCGAAGCTTACGGTGAGCATGCTCTTGGTAAATCACAGTGCTTTGAGTGGTTCAAAAAATTCAAAAGTGGAGAAACAAAGGACGTGGAAGACCACCGAAAAAGTTTGAAGACAGCGAATTGCAAGCATTGTTGGATGAGGATGACACTCAAACGCAACAACAACTCGCGGATCAATTAAATGTGACACGAGAAGCCGTCTCCATACGTTTGAAAGCCAGAAAGGTCCAGAAGATGGGAAAATGGGTTCCACATGAACTGAATGAAAGACAGCAGGAAAACCGTAGAAAAAGAAGGAAAAATAAAACGTTTTCTTCTCCTATCAATTAAAAAACGTATCTCGTCTTTCGTAAACGTGTAAATGTATCTCGCGTTATAATACCTATTTTATTTAGAATCGTGTACCGGCGATTCCGAGGTATCGTCGTGATTGGGGAAGCGATAAAGTTCGATGCGTGAGGATAACCAGTGCAGTCGTTCAGGATATTCTACCCGGAAGACGACAAGGGATCATCCTTTTCTTTATATCTATCATAAATCATCATATCGATATCATCGAAATTGACATTATTTCAACTG